TTTCAGAGTATCTTTAGGAATGCATTTTGGTTGGGGTCAATCAAATATTAAGAGTTCCTAGTCTTTTTCCAAATAGCTTTCTCAAAGCCAGAAAGTGAAGATGAAAATGAACTCCTACTGCAGGGTGAGGTGGATGCCCTGGAGTGTGGCCATTTGCTCTGCAGCACAAATTGTTCAATTTGGCAGGCATTTACCTGCTGTCTGTTGCATGCCAGGAGCCGTGTTGGCTTCTGGGGATACAGAGATGAGTAAGTTCTGCGCCCACCCTGCCATCAGAGGGCGCACGGTGAAGTCACTGTGAAGCGATCGAGGTAAAAGTTGTAAAAGAGTAAGCCTCGACTTGGAGAAGGGTGTTGCAGGGCACGGGTTGGCCTGAGCTGAGGCAGGGGCTGGGTGGGGGAAGGCTGGGGAGCCGGCTGTGAGCGGCCTGGACCTGTTTCCAGCGCTCGTGGGATTGTGACCTGGGGAGGTTCTCCGTCACAAGGATGGGCTCGTGTGGGAGCTGTCGCTGAATGTTGGCGAGTGGACAAGAGCCAGCCTAGGGTACGACAGAGAAAAAGGCGATGAGCTCAGCTGCTGAGGGTGATGTAATTGTGAGATGGCAACACAGGTCATACTCCCTGACCCAAACCCAGCCAGATATGGGGAAGAGTCGGAATGTCTGAATTATATCAAAGTCATACAGCAGCACCCCTTAATCAAACATGAGATTTATTGCAACAATAAGTATATTGATATCTATAGTAAGTGATACAAATAGACATTGTAAAGAGCCTCAGATAATTTCAGGTTTTGCTGCCAAAGAGTTTGTTCCCAAATTTTGAAGAAAATGTTTAGTTTTGAGAATTTCAGGGGAGGGGTTGTGGATCGGAAAAAATAGCTGTCATTTGTAGAGTCAGGGCTGCTGGCTTGTGCGTCACGCTCATTGACGCTCATCATCAGAACAGCCCTACGAGCGTTGATACCAGGAAGATCCCATTTTACAGGCGAGGCGATGAGGGCACAGAGAGGGTAAGTGATCTGCCCACAGTCACACAGCTCGCCACTGATGGCTCCATAGTCCGCATTTTCACCAGACTGCGTACATGTGAATGGGAGTTTGGGGAGTTGCAGGACCACAGTCTTTTCTTCTACATCTCATGCCCCTGACACCTGCAGCCAGCCTGTGGGAGCACCAAGGGAGGTCAGACAGGAGGGGAGGCGGGAGCCCTGTACAGGCTGTGGTTGCATCCTGTGTAGATACATTGAATGCCTGTGGGGACTTGTTTCCTGGATGCCTGGGGCCAGTGGCCTGGTTGGGCGCTGAGCTTTTCTCATAAATACAACATGGACTGGACCAGAGAGGGGGCGGGTGGTCAGAGGGCGTTGACAAGCTGGGATGCAGGCTGGCTGGGCTTTGAGAAAATTCAGGTGCCTGATTTCACAAGGATTCTGTAAAGAGATTCTTCATGATGGTCACAGGCT